GGCTAATTATTTATTGGGAAATGAGTTTGCAATCAAATTAGCGAAGAGGTAAACATAGCAACTGCATTAGAGTATACTCGAATATTGGAGATTCAATCCGAACCGTGTTTAATCAGTGACATCTTCAAAATAGAGGAACAAATCCAGATTGCATGGGAAGGAAACAACCGAAGATAACCCCAAGTCTATTTTCATTAGCTTCTAGCAAACTACAACCTTAATAACGCGGTAAATAGTATCTGATTGGGTATTTCCAAAATAAGCCCTCCACGGCCGTAAATAACCGACGTAATGTATTGGATTGCAAATATTATACAAATTATTGAAACAAACACTGACAGAAAAAATTTGTTTTATTAAGAGAATTTTATTTGAAACAACTATTATTTGGTGACTAATTTTCAAATAAACGTAATTTCATAGTGAACTCAGAGCAGTGTTACCAGATCGTGACGTCACCCCATTTAAATCGCCAAAATCTGGCAATCCTGATTCAGAGATACATTCCATTGGGAGAAATCAAACTTCTCTAGCATTGAAGTTCCTTTTATTTGAAGTGGTAAAACGGTACAATTTAATTTTCACTATTGGCCAGTTTTCAATGAATATCTCGGAATCGAAGGGAGATAGTAAAATTTTTGTTATGACCTCTTTTGTAGAGCCGATTGAGAGCTACAACAAATGTAATTACGAAAATTTCGCATCTCCCTTAGATTCGAACATATTCCTCAAAAATTCAACTGGGAGATAAGTCGACTTAAACCGTTTTACCACTTCGCTACTGATTTGATTTCTTTCTAAGCAAAAGTTTGTCAACTTCAAAAAATTCTTCGGTTTACTTAAAAATCAAAATTATTCTCGTGACTAAATACGTTGTTATATCAGTCAACACGACCATACGTTACTCCAAGTAAACTAATTGAAGTGAGCATTTCGTATGTGGAATCAGCAAGTCTTACTTGTGACGAACAAATAGTTTTTTTCTTATTATCAAAAAAGCATTGATGATTAATTTGATATTTAAGAAATTGAAAACTCATGACTGAGGATTAATTTAATAAAAATTAAAAAATTGTGCAATACAGTCAACTGATTTTGGATGTAATGAAATAATTCTAGTCCTACGTTGTGATTCTGCCTTTCTCTAAAATAAATTGTCTGATAAAATTCTGATATCCGGATTTGTTCACTATGTGCTTCATCTCAAATCTAAACAGCTTGCATTTTCCATCTGACTCTCCCTTTGCGGCGCCGTATCACGTTCCTTAATCCCAAACATACTAGGAATGTCCAGGAGAGGGCTGTATTGTAGTGGGCTAATCTTTCCTCGGCCTGATCAGATTCAATCAGCAAGTTCTCATTAAGAAATCCTTATCAATATCGTCTTACCCCTGATCCTTGATCAGCTTACATGGAGAGGAAAAAGTTTATGTTTTCGGGAAAATGTCACTGATTTTCAGGGATTTATTCCTAATTCTAAGGGATCTATCCCCAATTATTAGAGATTGCACGCACGAAAAAAGTTGGTAGAAAAATCTAGCGAATTCGCTCGACAAGTCTATTCGATTTCTACTGAACTTTCTATTAGTTTTTGGCCGAATCTACTGAAATGTTAAATAGAAAATATTCTATACAAAAAGTAAATAGAATTCGATCGTTCTACACAACTCATTCTATTGAGATACTTTCTATGGAATTTTCTCGGATTAAATTTTCGAAGTTGCTTTTGTTTGATTTTCTTGATGAAAAGAAAAGAAAAATAGAATGAAACAAACTTGGAAAATTTTTGCTGAGGAAATTCTGTAGAAAATATCTCAATAGAATAAGTTGCATCGAAAAATCGAATTCTATTAACTTTTTCTATAGAATATTTTTGATTCAATATTTCAATAGAATCGGCCAAAAACGAATAGAAAGTTCAATAGAAAACCAACAGAATTGTCTAGCGAATTCGTTAGAATTTTCTATTAAATTGTTTCATGCGTCATAGTTGTGAAATTCAACGAGTTCAAAATTCTGGAATTCAGTGATTTTGTCACATCATCATAATTTTTCAGTGGCATCACAAATTTTCATGGAATCTATGTGAAAATCAGTGACTGGAAAATCAAAAAAAAAAATTCCCTCAGGGAAAATCACCCTCGAGTATGCGCACACTCTAATCACCAGTGGACATGGAAATTTCCTGAGAGACCCGCGCCAATACAGTCGATTCCTCGATTGCCGATCTCGCTGTAGAGGCTATACCTCCGGCCGACCTTGAAGATAAGTTCAGTTCACTTCTGACCTTCAACACACGAACTTTGCTTTCAGCGCGGATGACTTCTGGGCTGCATTCGATCGAAATCTTTTTTGTGCATTCACAATTACAAAAATATTGAACGTTGCCGGGTGAAACAGATGTGAAACTCCTTGAGTATTCAATAATAAAAGAGACTTCTCAGAATGAATGTATTTAATTTCTATAGCTATGAATTGATATTTCAATGTGCACACAGGAACAAAAATGGTTTTTCAGAAAAATGTCACTGATTTCCAGTTTATTTTCTCATAATACAGTGTTATTTTGGCACTTCTAAATTAATTATCATTAATAACAATAATAGATTGCCAGTTGAGCACAAACTCCACAGAATATTTCTATTCATATTAACTTTCATTGAGAATTTATTTCAGATTCTAATCCTCAAAATTTAAGTGATTTTCACATCACTTTAACAGGTCGTTTTGGTATGCATAGGTCAGACCTGAATTGTGCCCAACGTGTACAAAAGTCACGTAAATTCATTCAACCGTTCTTAATCTTTCCAGAAAACTCCAACTTCTCAGCCATTAACGGTTATTAAAACGATTTTATCAATCACTCGAATTTATAAAAAAACAAAAAATCCCAAAATAATTGTATAAATTACAAAAAAACTTATTAAATACCTTATTTGTTGATAAGGTATTTAATGAGCTTCTTTGTAATTTATTCAATTATTTTTTGCAATTTAGTTCAAATATTATTACAATAGAACTGTTTGATTTTGTGTTTTGAACTCCACTCAATAGAATTACGAAAACAACAGTCAAATTGATCTTCATCATCATGCGTTGGAAAATATTGCTCGTCTCGTCAACGAATCTTCTGCGATGACATTTATGTTCGAATTACAACTCCTCCATCACCACTAATTCGGTCTTTGTCATCTGAGATTCCGGTTACACGCGCAGAATTATCTTTATCTCTATGATAAACACAGTGGGAAGGTTCCGTGAGTGAGAATGCCACGGAGAAAAAGCATGACTTGTTTGTTGGAATGCCCAAGTTCACAACCCTCATCTAAATTAATGAACAAACTAATCCCAATGTAGCGTATGCTTCCTCACTAATTGATGTTTGTTCAAACAAACCGGGAGAATAGAAACTGATAATGTATGCAGTCATGTTTAATCAACTACTTCATCACCAATGATCCATCAATACACCTCGTGCCACTGCATTTCGTTGCGTGGCGTATCAGCAGTTCACGCCTGACGCCATTGCTAGTTAGCATTAATAGCATTTAGGTTGTCACATACATGACCTTAATGGTATCCAGAGGTGGATCTTTCAATTTTGAATGAGGAAAATTAATCACAGGAGAATTGAGACATTCACACGATTCCTAAGGGAGTCATGTGTGTTAACATTGGCAGCCGATATTGCTCTAATGTTGGCAGCCATCATTGCTCCGACATTAGTAGCCAACGTTGTCCCGACGTTGGCAGCCAATATCACCTCAATGTTGGCAGTCAACATTGCCTCAACGCTGGCAGTCAGCATTGTCCACAGATTGGTAGCCAACATTTCCCCGACGTTGACCGCCAATATTGCCCCGACATTGGCAGCCAACATTACCCCAACGCTGGCAGCCAACATTGCCTCAACACTGGCAGTCAACATTGTCCCGACATTGGTAGCCAACGTTGCCCCAACGTAGGCAGCCAACATTGCCTCAACACTGGCAGTCAACATTGTCCCGACATTGGTAGCCAACATTTCCCCGACGTTGGCAGCCAACATTACCTCAACCTCCCAGGATTGGCAGTCAATACTGTCCCGACGCTGGCAGTCAACATTCTCCCGACGTTGACCGCCAATATTGCCCCGACATTGGCAGCCAACATTACCTCAACCTCCCAGGATTGGCAGTCAATATTGTCCCGACGCGGGCAGTCAACATTCTCCCGACGTTGACCGCCAATATTGCCCCGACATTGGCAGTCAACATTACCCCAACGCTGGCAGCCAATATTGCCCTAACATTGACAGCCAATACTACCCCAACGTTGGCAGCCACCATTGCCTCAACACTGGCAGTCAACATTATCCCGACATTGGTAGCCAACATTGCCCCGATGTTGGCAGCCAACATTACCTCAACCTCCCAGGATTGGGAGTCAGTATTGTCCCGACGCTGGCAGTCAACATTCTCCCGACGTTGACCGCCAATATTGCCCCGACATTGGCAGCCAATATTGCCCCAACGTTGGCAGCTAACTTTGCTCGTGGTTTGAAAATATTCAAAGTATCTTGCATTGAAGAAAAAAACACGAAACATTGTACTTGTCCCAAGGACGAAGACAATTTGTTAATGACAAGAAGATAATTGAGTAATTAAACTAGACTTGAACTCAAACCAAATCTAATTGAATTCATTAATTTAATACTTTTTTACCTTCAAATCCACAATATTTTAATACAAAAACCTCTTGGGATGGTTTGAAAAGTCGCTTTCTTGTTATTAACCAATTATCAACGTCTTCCTTTTCTCAGTGCGAGATATTTTGTACTTAAACATCTTCGAGTCATGAATTTCCTGATGCAATTAAAAACATACTTTAGAAAAAACTTTCTCTTCTCTCACCGTGGCGACATTAAGATTAAATTTTTTTCTGCTGTGTGAAAAATAGAATAGACGCGGTAGGAAAATAGATGGAAAAGGTTCAGCAGAACGTGAATTGCCATTACATTAAAACGTCTGACTCTTTAATAAGTAAACAGCACTTATTGCAATGCTATTGTAGCAGAAGACAGTTTCGTTCATGTCCACGATGGAATTTGCATAATTCAGTGGGAGGGGATTTGAACAGTCATTTGTAATGGTACAAGGGACAAACAGAATGCAACTAGACATTTCCGAAGACAGACTATGTAGGGTCGGACTAGTGAGTGACTATTTCAATGTTGTAAAGTTTATCAATTCATCACTGTGAGCCAGATTCAACGATACAATTTCTACGCAAACTCAGGAAAAACACAGATATCCAGATATTCCAGATATTCCAGAAAAGTTGTCATGGAAAAAAAGTAATAATTACATTCTGAGCCGCAATAACGGGGCATGATATCGATTTTACAAAAATTATTGTTTTCCAGATCAATTTTCCGGAAGTGTTAATAAAAATTCGGATCATGATGCACGAAAAAAATTATTAGAAAATCGTAGCAAATTTGCTGGAAAATTTTATTGAAATTCTATCCAACTTCTATTAATAATGTCATCAGTTTTTCGCAGATTCTATCGAAAAACTCTTCAGATTTTTTGCGCCTTTTTTTCTATAGAAAATGGCCATTTGTAGGAATTGAAGGTATTACCAAAAAAACTTGTGACAAAAAACAATTCCAATGTTCATCAGAATCGCTTGGTTGAGCATCCATTCAAGGTTTCCTCGACTGGTCCCAAGAATGCTCCCAGTATCTTCACAAACATGTCAGTCGGTCGGGGTCCCATCTTCAGACCGTCATTACTAATCTCTAAATGATATCCTTCAGCTCCCGAATTCATCCATTGAGTACTCAAAACTTCATCTTCAGTTCCATTGGGTGTAGGATTGCTACAACACGATTACAAAACCTTCATCAAACACACTCAATTGTCATAAATTGGAAATTGAATGAGAAATCCCGACGCATTTTCTGCAGAAAAATTTCCGGAGAATTTTATGATTGTAAATTTTTTACACTATTTTTCTTGGTCTTTTCCGCATTTTTCATAATTGACGAGCAAAAATTTCAGATCACATAATTCGAATAACTATTTCGAAAACAAAAACGTTGGCGATTTTTGCTAAGTTGATCGTTCGATTAAAAAAAATCGATTCTCTATTTTTGAGTGACAGGAGGCAATTATGACCCACAAAATCAGATTCCTGAGAAAAAATCGTGCGGAAAATAGTATTTTAAAGTTTTTTGTCTCGAAAAACGAAAAAGTTTTTTTCCCGGGGTGAACCTCCCCTTAAAAAAATTCAACGCAATTAGATTTGTACTAACGCAAAAATGAATTGCTATTGTTCTCTGAAATTTACCCGAATTTAGCAAAATTCGTCCACAGCCTGACTAATCTTCTCCGTTGAATGGCAATATCACTAGTAGGATCGAGAGACTGATTCCTCTTTGACATCCAAAATAGATGAGCAAGATCGTCTGAATGTCCTGTTCCTATAATAAAATCAAATGAAAGACTACACTCTTTCAAAATTCTAGAGGTATCGGGCTGAATTTTGTGGCGATTGCCGGACAGTCCATACATAAATGATCAGATCATCTTAACTTTTTCTCAAGAACATGCCACAAAATGCACAGGATAGAATACTACTAATAATAAAATGAGTAGATTATCGACGTGATTCAATCCTATTCACAAGTTGAATAGGATTGAACCTATTTAGATGTTGAATTGCATCGAGAATTTTTTTTTCTGTGCAGTATTCGAAATCGCTTGACACCTCCACACAAATTCTTTTAATAATTCATTCAGCCCCAAACCGGCTACGAACCATTTATCAGGGAACCCTCCAGCTTGTGCAGTGCATCATCATAGTCGAAAGAATTCCGATAGTAATAAACCGGTGCCTTTCCTTCACTCAAATACTGCTGAGTGCGATCAACACCAGCAACAAACCACAGATCACTACTGATCTGGAAACGAAATATATCCTCATAGGCATGACAATTTGATTGGACTTGAATTTAGTGTAATGCTTACGACAACACTTTGCTGGATTACGTCAGGGCTGACATCATCCCAAATGGATTTTTCTTCAGTTGCCGCTGATTGTGGGCCAGTAATTTTGTGTAGAATAGCTGAAATGGATACGATAAGTATCCAAATTTCTCATTTTACATGAATACATCATTTCATTTAGCATATATGTATGACCGTGTTATGGCCGAATAATCAATCAGTACGAAATGAAGCGGTTGAATAAAAATTTGGATGTTAAGAACATTGTGATTAATTAGCTTAAATTAAATTAAATTAACTTTGCGAATTTTCACAAACGTCGAATGCCCGAAGAAAACTAATAAAATGTTTCAAATCCATTAAAATGTTTTAAATAAAAACGAATGAAATGTTTCAAATCGATTCGATGAGTGGTCAATAGAAAACATTCAATAGAATTCGATTTTTCTATATAACTCATTCTTTTCATATATTTTCTATAGAATTTGCTCGACTCAAATTTTCTAAGTTTTTTTCATGCTATTTTTCTTTTCTTCTCATCAAGAAAATCAAACGAAAAAGCGTAGAAAATTTGAGCCGAGGAAATTCTACAGAAAATATCTCAATAGAATAAGTTATATAGAAAAATTGAATTCTATTGACTTTTTCTACTGAATATTTTCTATTCAACATTTCAATATAATCGCCCAAAAACTAATAGAACAGTTCAATAGAAATTCAATAGAATTTTCTAATAAATTCGATAGGTATTCTTATTAAATTTTTTCGTCCGTGTTCCTTCAAATCAGGAACACTGAATGTGTTGAACATACGAGCAGACATGTGCAGACAACTACCTACATCATTTCTTCACGTTTCATGACATTTCTAGGCATTTTCACCCAAAATTAAGAAATCGAAAAAATTCACGACTACAAAACTTCCGTTCGGAAGCAAAAACAAAAATGATCAATTTTCTGCCAGTGGTCCGTTTTGCCCTGCGGTCCGTTTTGCCCTAGCCTCCCCTACATGTTGACGATAATATTAATGATTTTGATTTCAATTTAACTCACATGGAGCAAGATAGATTGTCTCCGAACTCACAGTGCCCAGCATATGCGGCAAGTCCACATAATTTCCTGATTTATACCTGTGAATTGGGCATTCAGTGATGAAAGCCTCTTCACCACTTACGTCTCTATTTTCCAAAGTCGGTATGAAGCCCATTTCGGTCTACAGAAAAAGTTTTCAACACTAATATTGATTGTATCCGCTATGAGATTAAACAAGCTCAAATTTCTCAACTCAGTGTGGAAGAATTTACCCCGGTAATCGAGCGAAAAGTTGCCACCACCAAGTCTTCAGCAGGTACATCGTACAGATCTCGGAGAAAATCCTCCACATTCGTTGTCGTTAGATTTAGTTCCTCACCCAGAGCAATTGCTTTGGAGAGAGCGCTGTTTAATGTTGCAAATCCCCAAGGGTTCAATGGCGAACCACTCATGGCGATGGATCCCTTGAATAGTCCTGAGATAGTAGCATATTTTGTTACGAGTATGTAAAGTTTCACTTTTTCGCACAAGTGATGAAATAGTATAGTTCAGAGCGAGTGCCATGGGGTTTTTTACTCGCGTGGAGTTGGCGTCCGAGCCGAAGGCTCAACTTATTGTAAAGCAAAGAATTGAACTATAATAAATAAATTTAAACAATTAATGTTTAATATTTCGTTCCCCAGAAGAGGTTAACTGTATCCTCATACGAGTATCCTCACGTGTGAATCGAAAACGACGTCCGTCAACGGAATTCATTCACATGTGAATCTAGGATTCATTTACGAAAACTTTCATTCCCCAACGTGAAACGTGAATGGAGCCACTTCCGTTCACAAATCCGTTCACCTCAGACTCGAGAATAGGCCCCCCTGGTGAATATGAGTTTGCAGCCCGACCGGAAGGCGAGGGAAAAGACAAACATAAAAAATCAGCGATTCTCCTGCTTTCCATTCCATTACCTGCGGACTTGTCCGAAACTTTGTGCAGTTCAACAGAATCCCCTCCAGCACTTTGTCCGAATATAGTAACTGCAGTGGGATCACCCCCGAAGTTTTGTATATTCCTTTGCACCCACTTCAACGCCAACACTTGATCCTTCAGTCCAGCGTTGCCAGTAGCATTTGGATGATTGAGAGATAGAAATCCTAAAAAACGTAATCACGATTCGTTTCGATTAATCATTCAGAGATCCAGATTGGCGTTGCGAACCTAGTGCACCGAGACGATAATTCATCGCAACCACAACGACGTTATCCTCAATTAAAAAATCAGGACCGAACACAGAACTGTTGATAGTCCCCTCGTAAAAGCCACCACCGTGTATCCACACCATTACCGCTGATAATTCTCCATCGGTGGAATTAAATTTCGTCTGAAACGTTATTAATCGCTAGTCAATTATGCAACATTTTCATCATTACCCATGCGGTGAGAATTTTACGATAATTCGTTGCCTCGTTCTCAGTATTTGACAGGTAATGTTATTTTTTAATTATACTAGATTAATCCACGCGCATATGACCTACTCCATGGGGCTTAATCAGTGATCGGCATCAATGATTATTCCAGAAATATTAAGAGAATTATTTCCCCAAAATAACCGAATTCATCCGTTGATCATTGGAACTTGGAAAATAATAAATAATTGAGAATTTAAATTTTTTCAATAACTATTAGGTAAATAATTGGAAATTTTCAGAAAATATTAGAGATTATCAAATAATCGTCATTCTTCCGAATCCGATTATTGATTGGTAAAGTAATTCGGAATTTAGATATTTAATTGTTGATTAATTTAATAATTAAAAATTGTTATGTTCTATTACTTGATTGAGTATTTATGAAATTAATGGTAATGATAATTTATGATTATGCCTATCTCTAGGCTTAATGTATGTCAGTTGTAGTGAATAGCCTTATATTAGATTTCTGAACTGAATATCAAGTTTTTAGAAGGAAAAGTTTCAGGAATGTATTCGATTTTTTTATATATAATACGTCCAATGTGACCTTTTTTGAAGCCAATCTATTCGGCGTATTGTGTCATTAGATTTTTTATAAATGATGATAGCATACATTAAAAATATTACGATAATAGTATAGTATAATATAGAATGTAATATAATAAAGTATTATTGTCATATCTTTAAGGTATGCTATCATCATTTATAAAAAATCTAATGACACCTTATGCCGAATAAATTGGCGTCAAAAAATGTTACACTAGATTGTTCATTAAAGGATGGAATCATGGGGTATTGGAGAAAAACTAAAAAACGCTGATTGCTTTGTCGCGAAATCGAAGTTTCGCTATAATATATTAGCATCTTCAGGCCCTCGACTTCTCAACGTTTTTACCAATACGGGCATAATTAAAAATGATGTTATTTTTTATTCATCTGCATTTAGTGACACGGGATAATGTGGAATAATTACTGAGGGTGCATCGTAGAAACGTCAAGTCATTAGCTCAGATGAATTCATTATGAAAAAAACCAGGACATTCGGAGTTGCCAATAATCACCAAAATTAGAGCAGAGTTTCAGCTTTACAAATGAATTTAATCAACGGATTCAGAAATGAAGTGGAGTGGAACTCGGAATATTCTGTGTCATCTCATGTCAGTCATCATTCCACCACTCTATACTGTACCATTTTACGAGACGGTTAATCTTGTAATAATTATATTCATTTTCTCTATTCTCATCCAGTAAAATCAGCACATAAACTGTCTTCTTTTTACTATTACCAATTGTTATGTCCGTAAAATGACAATACACTGTTGAAAAAACTGCACTGAAATCTCCGGAAAAACACCTTGAAACTCCACAATTTACATGAATTTTTAAGTAAAAATGAATATTCACTGCTCAATTCCCTTGAATTTTCCACGAATTAAGGATGTTCTACACCCTTTCTGCCAAAATTCACGTTTTTTTAATTTTTCTGGCAAACTTATGATGGAATTGACGTGAAAAAATATAACGTTTTTGCGTTGTGTCATTATTTAATGACTGACGAAATTTTAAGGTGGTGCGAACATTTTCCTGCGTTATCTCTAAACTTTTAAAAAGAATCACAAAACTGTAGAAAAAACGCATGAAAATTATCGCACCACTACGCAACTTCGTAAGCCATTAAAGAATGACAAACCACAAAATTGTTGTAAAATTTACTCGCACACCTGAGTCGATTCGAACAATTTTTGTCAACGAGACTGAACGCGCGCTGTAATTGTCATGACGGCCGTCTGTGCTTCGGTGACGGAAAAGAAAACGGAAAAGTTTTTTTCGGCCTAATGACAAAATATACTATTGATTGCTCAATATCTACCTCTGGGAGTAGATTTTCCGACTGTATAATCTTCTTTGAAAGAGATAATTATGTCGTAGAAACAATAATTTAGTGGAAAAAAAATTGAGATCGTATCGATTTGATCCCATTGAATCGATGTGTATGTCCGGGGTGTACGAAACAAGACAGAAAATTAATTTGATGAATACTTAGAAACTTGAGTGACAATGATAATAAGAATGTTGCTGGCCTTCTGTCGTACATTCAAACTGGAAAACTCAATGAATTGATTAAGGAAAAACACTGGTTATTTCCCTCAACTGCGCTGCATGTCTGAATAATTGAATTCCTCACCTTTGGCGTGTAGACATTGAGATAGAGACAGTCTTCATTACCGGTCAAATGTGCAGTTCTAGGGGCAAATTGAGGACAGCGTTCCGGTTCAGATGTGGCATCCAGAGTGTAATCCCAACTGTCCGCTTCAACTGGAGGCTGGAAAATGTCGAGAAATATTGATGTTCTTCAATAGATCAACTTAATGAATTTTGAAATTTATCATCATCATTCAATCATTATTAAAAATTGTTTAATGAATTTCGAGATTATTTATCACTTTATATTTGAATAAACAATACGAGTGAAATGTGATCACATGCTGAAGTAATAACGAGCGATTAATTACATTTTTTTTGCTCTCGAATTTTTGGATTTTAGAAGTTTTGGATTTTTCGTGTTATATCGACCCATTGTGATCCAAAAAATCCGAAAATGCACTTTTTAGTTCATATGTAACAAAGTTTTCCTTCAATTATTCTCCCATGAATGGATCGAATTGAATCTTTTTTTCAAATGTAGGTATTGTTGAGCCCTATCAATCGACATTGAATAAAATTTAAATAATTCATCGATTCGTTTTTTTCATTACACGATAACTAAGAAAAATGTCCTCAGTTGATTGAATGATGGCTTAATTTTTTTTTGGACGCCATTTTAAGCGAGTCCGTCGATGAAAGCGATAACAATAATCGTCATTTTGATTTATTTGAACATTTGCAAAAATTTTTCATTTTTTGAAAATCAGAAATTCGGGGATATCTTTGAGTATCATGCTTCAAGTGAATTCAATCATAGCTTAAAATGTCTGCTTCAATGCCATTAAGTCGAAGTTCAAAGAGGATTACGATAGCTGTATTGGTTGACTTGATTTTTATGATCCTTGTTAAAAAATTTGAATTTTTAACGAATTTCTCTGAAAGTTTTCTGAAAGAGCTTTCTGATGGTTTCTTCAAATGTGATGTTTCAAAATCATTCAATTATGCATAAATAAAATTTTTCTGTTAACATTTCATTGAAGATCTGAGAGGAGAGATAGAGCCGTAAAAAAATCAATCGGTTGTGTAGACAAAAGAGTTCGGAAGTTCACCTTAAATCGTAAATATCCAAGCGGTGGTTTGCCATACGGAATCCCTTTGAACGCCGAATATTCCACCGAATTTTGCACCGTTTTCAATAACACACCGCGCACAAACCCTTTGTCTGTACCAACGATTTCTGTAAATCCGTGTTGCCCGCGCGTTTCGAGTACGAACAATATTGCGATTGCAGTGATCGCTGGAATAATCCGTTGCATTGTAGTTCGAGGCTCTACAGTCGATTGGAGTTGTAATCGAAATAAACCTGCTTTCAGATAGCGAGAGAAACCAGCTGGATGCTAATCCCGTTCGGTCTTAATGGGTCTGCATGAATTATTAATGCTTAGCATTACGTTTTTCAATGACCGATTGAAATGCAGTTTATTAACATGATTATGATCCGACTTCAAAGTCTTGTTACGCCCCAAAATAATATAATAATATTGAGTAATAATTTATTGACAAACGGGAAGATGTTGAACCGTTATAAATTTACATTTATAAATGAGTTCATATTTACACTCAGAAAAATGATTCATTTGAATCAAATTAAATTCTTTAGTTGAATTTTTTGCTTGTTTCGAGAATGTCTTTGTTGGAAATGAATAAACTTGTTTCTTTCGATCATTGATCAACTGACAAACGACCAATAATTGACAATTGACCCATGATCGACCATCGATCAACTGACGATCGACCGCCGACCGACTAATTGTTGATCAACTATCGACCATCTATCGACTGATTATCGACCGAGGATCAACCGAAGGTTCATCGGCTATCGATCGAGTGAACAAGTTGACACATCGGGTCGCCATCGGGTAACCATCAACCGATCTTCTAGGGACAGTAACTATTACAGAACGAAGTGTTCATGCCCAAAATATTCAGTATATTTTCAATATAAATTTCAATATATTTTTGTTTCGAGATTCAAAATTTAAGTGTTCAGCAGTATTTATTTTTGAAATGTAAGTTCCTCGGGTTAAATTTTTCAAATATACATTTTCAACAAAAATGAGATTATAAATGATTATCTTGAATCCATCTAATTTATGTGTAATGAGAGCAAACATCAATTTTTTCAACAATCGATGTTCATTCCTGAAAAATCGATTCACAACATCGATGTTTTTAAAAAGATCGTCCATCGTCAGGACACTAACTACTATTATACAAAACGAAGTATACTGATAACAGATACAATTATTGCAGATATTTGTTTTCAAGGAATGAATGACATCGACCTTAATCGAAAACATCGATTTTTCGTGCCCAAAATATTGAATATATTTTTTCAATTAATCACGAACCCTGAGAAAATAATATTAATTCCTTATTAAATTATTAATAACAAATGAATCCCTTATTAATTTATTTCGAGATTAAAAATTTGAGTCTCATACTTATTCTTGAAACGTAAGTTATTCCTCGGGTTGTATTTTTTAAATGTATAGTTTTCACAAACCAATATTTTAAAAAATTATGTTTAATCTATCTAATTTCATGTGCAATGAGAACAAACACAATTTTTTTTAATAATCGATGTTTATCCCAGAAAAATCGATTCACAACATCAAATTTTTTTCAAAAACATCGCACATCTCTAACACTATCTGATAATCATAATACGCAGGTCGGAAATAGTAGTGGGCAAAGTGTCAAACGACGAAAGAGAGGGGAAAATAGGCGGCTCAAGTGCATCTTTGTTAAGCATGAAATCTTAATCCATGTTGGAGATTTTTCCATAACGTTGTTTATGCCCAACATCGACAAGGAAGATTTTTATACAATTTGTAGAGAATGTCATCGCTGAAAGCATTTGTAATCAGAGTAAATAACATTCCCGCAGCTTATGCTCCCGGTGAAACAATTATTGGTGAAGTTTTTGTGGACTTGAATGAAGCAAAATCATGTCGAGGCAAGTACAACAATTGTTAAACAACCGGAGTCCATCTTAAGTACCTTCTGTCCGTGCATTACATGAAAGTAATCCAGTGAATCAACTGCATGACATTCTAGTAAGGTTAGAGTTCGCTCTCATGTTTGAGTCAATCATTCTGCCACCTGTAGGATAGAGTGCAAAAATTTGGTAGAAAAATCTGAAGCATTCGCTTGGAAATTCTATCGAAATCCTCCTTCATAACATAAAATTGGTGAAACGTTTTCTGTCACTCGTCTATTTCACTGAGTTATATTATATTTCTGCGTATTTTCTAATTGAAATTCTAGATTAAATTAAAACCATTCGATTGCATTTTCAAAAAGTTGAGAATATAGATTACCCTTTGATATTCCTAACTAGTAGCATCAATCAAGACAAAAGAGGAAAATCAAACCCAGCGTCGTCCAAATCGAAATCAATATATAGAAATATTTGGCTTAATTAACTATTCGAAATTTAGCTTTCCCATGTTTTAATATCAAAATTTCTAGTCCATTGTATCCGTAAATGACACTTTTATCCAAATGGGATGGGCGGAGTTTATGACTTTGAGATATCACTTTACATGTAAGTTTATGGGGTGAAACGTTTTCTGTCACTTGTTTTCTGTTCACTTGTGATGAACAATATCGTTCGATACTCATGGGAAAAGTGTTTTTTGGCTCGTAGAAGGCGAAGGCGAGTGATATAAACCCACAAGCCAAAAACACTTTTCCGCACTCGTATTGAAATATACTATTTCACCACTTGTGCGTAAACTAAAATTTTGCGGACGCTACGCGCATGCTAAATCCCACTTTCCACACATTGTGATGAAAAATAGGGTTCGACACCCACGGAAAAGGCGTTCTTTGACCCTTGCGCGTCCACGCGCGGTACAGTGGACACGAGTAACGAAGGGTTAAAAACTCAAAGTCCTGCCTCCTCCTTTTATCTGTAGCATAAAAAATTCTGATTTTCCACGAAATTTTATTTTGATGATTAATCTATACATTTATTTCAATTTCAATCATCTTGCTTATCCAATATCTCTGAAGGAAACGATCTATCAATCATGAGGTGAGTGATAGAGTTCTGGAAAAAAAATAGGACATCATAGTATTTTAGTAGTCAAACACAGAGCCATTTACCCATGGACCAACAGAAAGATATTTCTCCCTTCTTGGTACCATCACACAATATTCATACCATAATTCACCGAATTTCTCGATTACCATGGGAATATCCCTGTTGATATAATTAATGACTGATTCAGGAATCTATTTGAGATTCAAAGGCAAAGCCAAGGTCAAATGGACAGAAAGTGGAGGGAGCAGAAGAACCAGAAGGACCTGTTCAGCAGAAGAAAATTACTTTGGGACGGAAGTTTATGTTGTTGGCAGACCAGGTAAATTATTTCGAATTAGCCCTTGTGCTAGGATTTCGTGAAATTTTCATCGAAAATGAGTGAATCTATAGTGTGGTCTATACTAAATTATAAGATACTTGGATATCCTTAACATGCATTTTTCCGAAATCCAGAAAATTTCCCCTGGTCTCTGCAAAAAGTTGTATGAAAGTAATCCTATAAATTTTGATAAATTCAAAATGATTTTCTTTGTCGAAAAATAAGCAAATTTTACCACTTGTTTTAATCACAGGGTAATTTGTTGTTCTTCCTGAATTGAAATTTCCTCAAAAATCTTGAGAACAAATAACGGAGTCGGTTTTAGAAGAACATTCCTTAATCTTTCCATTTTTCCCTTAATTTCAGTAATGTTCCTGCACGAAATATGTTTTTCCGTAGTGACATTCATTTTTTCCGATTCGGGGAAGGGTCAGTACCAACTTCCGGACTGGAAAAAGTGAAGGTCAGGAAATAGTATATTTCAGGACGAGTGTCATGGGGTTTTTTACTCGCGTGGAGTTGGCGTCCGAGCCGAAGGCAAGGACTGGCAAAATATCGCTCGCGCCTAGTCCCACGGGGGTTTTCGATGAGTTCGAGGTTGGCACGCTCTCGCCTCGACTCGGCGTGCCAACCTCACTCGTCGAAAACCCCAGTGGCACCCGACGTGACATATATTAATCTCTCTGCATTAGTTATAGGATGAGCCTATGAAAATTTCTCAAATGTATAATTCTCCTCACCACTTTCTAGATGGTGAAATAGAATTGGTGGCGGGTCAACACGTTTTCCCTTTTACATTCACATTACCGATGAACATCCCCAACAGCTTTGAGCATAAATATGGGGAGGTTGTGTACAACATCAAGGCAGTAATGAACATGGCATGGGCATGGGATCCCGAAACATGTCTTCCGTTCACCGTATATTCTCCGCTCGATTTGAGCCAAATCCTGCCTGTAAGTGAGACATACAAAAGATGAGCTATATTCCTTCATTTCTATCAGGGATGAAAAATTCCGAAAGAGAAAACTTTTTATAAAAACACAACTCCCGACATTCATAAAGAGAATCAATTATTTCTAACAAATGAGTTACTTTTTCTCACGTTAAATCAAGTGGTCCGTAACGCGACGTTGCCGAAAATTCGCTAAACGCGCCCGGGCAGTGTAGAGTGCATTCGGAGATCCGATCAATTAGCCCCTCATGTATAGATATTCCAAATTTTTATTTTTTTCCTCATTGAAGTAGTTTTGAAGAAAATTGCAAGCTAATAAAAAACATTTGCTAGTTAGTACTTTTTTTAAAATAAATTTTTGAAAAATCACCCCTGAAAAAAA